TATTATTATTATTAAATCAATGTCTCGCAGCAGACTTGAAGTGCTGTGTGTGACATAATTTTAAAAATAACATAAAAGCTGGATGGACTAACAAGAAATAAAATAATTAAAGAAGTAACTAAGAACCAAATATGAGGTCATCCACATCGCTGAATAAATAAACTCGTCTAGTTAGCAGGATCTGTCTTCCCCATTGACTGAAGACAATTTTCCATTCTTTGAAATGTAGGGTGTTTTTTTAAAAAAGAAGAAGAGAATACAAGGTCCTCTTTCATGAATACTCTAGATATTACATTTGGGTTACATGAATAATCTCTGTGTTATTATATGCTAGAAAGTGATTTGGTGAGGGGCAGGAAGCAAAAAAAGGCAACTGCGTAGTCAAGGGTAATGGAAATCTGAACTAGCTTTTTAAAAAAAGTTCAGACTAATTCAGCTGCTTGGTTCATCTAGACAACTTTTGCTTCTTAATTTTAATATTTGAGCAATCAAGGCTCCACACAATTACCTGGAAATAAAGCCTACTGAAATCAATGAGATGTATTTCTGAGCAAACAGGTACATAATTATACTGAAAGAGGTAAGAAACATCCACCCAGAAGCTAGTGGTCCCACAGCTAAAATTGTGGCCTGCCTTCTTCTTAATGCGCCCATCTGATTTTTAAAAAGCTCACACAACATGAGCGGTCCTTTTCGCAAGGATGATTTCAGCAGAAAAATAGCTAACTTCTGTGGCTACATAAACCATGTCTAGTCTACATGCGTATGCTTACTGTACCTTGATTAAAGGGCATTTAATCATCTACTTTTGTGTGTATCACCACTCTTCTTAGTGTTTTACATGTTTTCTCCAATTTCTTGTCTCATTCTGCTTCCCTCACTTCAGGTGCTGATGCTGTCCTGCTTGATCAAAACAAGTACTGGTGGTTTCCAGCGAATAAAGGAATTATCTTCATCCTAAAACTTGCAGCAGCCTATTTCCACCACCTCCCTTTCTTGTCCATTCTCAATGAACTTCCTATTAAATGCTTTATCTTGATGCACCTATTCTAGAAAGCAACTATGATGTCACCCGCTGCCAGCAGACCATAAAACACTTGCAAGCCACGAAGAAGACAAAACCCAGCGGTTCCAACAGGGAATTTTTAAAGCCAATTGCATGCTATTGACATCTGTGGGAAATACAACGGCTTCAGCCCGGTTTTACAGTTTGGAGGGGCAGCGGAGGGAACAGTGGGCTGTCCCAAGTCCCTTTCTCCCACTCTCGGTATTTTGCTATTTTAAATAGTAATATTAGCATATAATGGGTTTAAACTGGCAAGATTTACATTGACCCATTTCCCAGCCCCTCCCTGGCAGATATGGACAATGCCTACTGCCACAGATAGATTGATAAAATGTACCTCACACACAAAAGGTTATCCGTTTCCTTTGAAATCAAGAGTGCCCTTGGAGCTGAAGGCGATGGTAAACTGTCAGAGAACCACGATGCCTCAAAATCCGAACTTAAATAAAAAAAAGCGAGTACCTTCTTTTCGTCTGTTGATTGCCTTCGGAGAACATCCTTGGGGCTGTTTAATATTAGCTATCCTGTTTACATCTCAGACCCCCGTCTAAATCCCTGCTCTGCTTTGCACTGGGTGTCTCCTTCGCTCAGTTCAACCGAAATGCCGTCTACGGTTGTAAATCTTCAAGGTGACCTCAGCCGCTCAGCGGCAGCCGGACTCTTCTCCGCGGAGTTCTCCGTCAGGCCTGCGCCTCATCTTTGGGGCTTACATATCATAAACAAGAGCCCAAGCCAAGACCACCAAGTGTTATCTCTCGGGCTGGCCGTTTCCACGTCCTTTTTCTTCCACCCACCCATCCACCCCTTTCCTCCCGAGATTTATGACTCCACTGAGCAACCTCTGATACAGAACCCTGAAAACCAGGCCTCCTTCAACTGTAGAGTATGGGCCTTTTCAAACACACACACACGGACAAATTCTCTCTCTCTCTGGATGTATGGGGCTGGGGTTAGGGTGGCCACTCAACAAGAAGAAAGCGGAAGCGCAAAAGTTTAGTGCTGGAAAACAAGATAAGGGGATTTTCCGACGTTCGGGGATCCTATCGCAGGAAAAGGAAAAGCGCAGGGTCATCATCTTTTACTGCTAACTTCTTCCAAGTCAAATAAATTTTATATGTGACCCGCAGACAATAAAATCTGGGCAAATGTTAAAGCGCCCGCGCACACACACGCACGCACGGCGTTTGATCACGCATCTAGCTCCTGTAGATAGATCGGGCGAGAGATCTTCGATTATAAATGTAGACGTAACCTATGTAATTAAACTTTTCAATCTGCCCACGCGCCTGGAAGACAAAAAAGGAGAGAGAAACGGATGGGGAGGGGAGGGGAGATACGGGGGAAAGAGCGACCCCCGGCAGTCAGGGCTGAATTCGATTCTGAGCATTCTGAATATATTTAACCCAGCTTTTCCCCTCTTGAATGCAACCCTGCCCCAAGTTTCAAAGTGACCGAAAAGTGACACCGGGCGCATTTTGTTTCTTATTAATCTTACACATTGACAGTCTTTGTTAAATAACAAGGCGTGCCCTTCACCGAGCGACATTTTCATATTTGTTAGACGCGCTGACCTGAAGTTCACCTCGGCCTTGGACTTAGTTTTTTCGAGGTCTTTAACGGTGTCTTTAAAGGGGGGGGGACTGTGGAGAGTCGGAGTGGCCGAGGCAGCCGATGGCCGGGTCATTTAGTCGTAAATGGGAATGAAATCTTAAAGAGTTATAGACGAAAAATGTAAACGTTATTAAAGGCGGCGGCTGTGTTTGTCCTTGGCTTGCTGGCAATCGGAAAAGGCCCTAAGAGGGAACGGACACGGGCGCCGGAATTTTTTAGGAAGTCCAGACGTGCACAGTGAATTCTTGAGAGAAGAAAACCGAGGCTCGTTGCCTCCTTCACTCCAATGCATACACGTTCTCCCGGAGAGTTTTGCACTCTTTAAAACACGGAAGTGAGTGTATCTACCCATCTACAGCATACACTTAATCCATTGTGTTCATAAGGCTCTTCAGCATCTGTATATTTTTCTGACAATCAGTTTTTGAGAGGGGCTTGATTGTGCAGAACTATAGTAAAAACGCTTCTTTTAAATAAATAAATAAATAAATAAATAAATAAATAAATAAATGGAAGAGATACATAAAGAAAAAGACATTGGAGTCTGTGTTATTGGCTGAGAAGAGGACATACTGCCTCAGATAGAGCACCAGTGTTTTCTATTGCCTAAAGGGAGATAGGTAAATAGGTAGGTAGATGTTTTTGGAATAAAAATACGACTAAATCAAAGACGGGAGTGGGTGGGGAAGAGTGACCTTTTTGGACATGTAGGGTTGATCCCATGACAGGGTAGGGACTGAAACTGGGAGACAAACACGGGTGCTGCTTGCTTTGATATGAAGCAGTTGAAGGAGGTGAAACCTGAACAGTACTTTAATATTCTGTTGGTCATTGAAGGAAAGCCCACTTTAAAATTTAAATTTGAAAAATGAACACAACACAAAGCAAGACTTCCTGAGGTTGTACTTGAAAATCTCCAAAAAGGAAGCTGGTGCAGGGAGTTGTCTTCTCTGTCACCCTATTGCATCGCACCTCATTCCACCACCCCATCTTCCCTGAAATTTGGATTAGAACTGAAACTTGACATAAGGAACTCTGGCGTAAGGAGGAAAGATGAAGAGTTCACATTTCTGCCTTTTAGATGGCTTTAATTCTTTAAAAGAAGTAAGATTACTTTTAAAACCATTTCCAGGTTCTCTGTCTACAAAATTATCTTTTTTTTCCCCTTTTTCCTTTCTTTTTCCTTTTTTGACTAAACATTCCACCCTCTGGATGCCTCATATAATTTAGATTGTACTCCCCTAAATATATAATTTAAGCTGTGATACTTAAAGCGGAGTTGAATTCCATGGGGCTAAATATCTTATTTCAGAGCTGATGTGAATAGGAGTGCACTGTATGTTGCACTCTGAGCAAGTACAATATTACTATTATACCAAAATAGTCGATCTGTATTTCTGATATGTATTGAGGGTAGTCTTCCACCTCATTGTGTATTATTTTACTATTCCAGTTTCAAATACAGAAAGGATCTAGGTATATTTTCTGGGTATTTAATATTTCTGTAAATGACCTAATCTTATGGCTGAAAAATTGTTTGGCTTTTTACAAACCTATGCCAGTAAGAACCTTTTCTCAATGGCATAGAGATATTTTCAATAGTAAGTTCTATGTTACTTGTTGTATATAGGAGTGGATTTTCAATGACATACTCCTGTATTTTTATGACTAAACGTCAGCTAGTAATTGTAAGGTTATTTTGAGAACAGTAAGTTAACACAGAAATCTATCTCAAGAACTTGTAAATTAACAATGGAACTGGAATACCTCTGATAGAAATAACCATACTGACCCTCCCTTGTGAATGAGCTCCTGCTTTCTCAGAAGAAATATTTCTCCAAATACAGAGACAGAAAACTCATCTGATAATAAAAGAAAATATAACAAAATACAGTACCCTAAATATTGAAGAGTCTAAATCCAATTGCTAATCCCAACTAAAGGAGACTCATTGAATCAATAGGATTCACATATATTTTGACTTATCAATTAGCAGTTGATTTAATGGGTCTCTCTAGTTGGGAGTAGCAATTTCATTTAGGCCAGGAGTGGACAAAACCCCTTAATTTAAGGTTGTACTATTTCTAAATAAAGACAGAATATTTTATTATTGACACCAATATAAATGTGTGTAGATCTTTCATTTTAGAATATCTGCTCCAGAAACACAGTGCTGATCTCCCCTAGCCTTTTCTTGCTCATTATAGCTTATTTTCCAAAACTGTATCCGAAAGGAGAATGGGAATCATGGTCTACAGGTTTTCTCACATCTTATTAGAAACCAGTGGGCAGCCTCCAGTTACCCACTGAGTATTAAAGAATGTGAACACACAGGGGTTTTCAGAGGGGCCCTTGTATTTGTCCATTGCAGTGAAAACAAAGAAATCTTATAAGGTTTTCGCTTGAAGAAAATTTAAGGACTGATCAGAGTTGGGTGTTCTGTTTTTTTTAATTCTGTGAACTAGAGTCCATTTCTTTAAGGATGACATTCACAACTACAAAAACCACAGGAGAATTTCCAGCAGAACCCTGATTAGGATTGATATCGCACCTTTCAAAATATTAGTGTTTGGTGTGTATGTGCCCACATTTATAAGAGGAGGAGGGCTGTGACTTAACACCCATGTTCACCTGATACATCTGCCAGCCAACAATATTCCGAAGGGGGGGGAATGTATTTGATAATTCAAGATGAAATACAACGTGTATTACTCTTTGAAAAGAGGAATTTTCTATCCTTTCCTCAGTAATTGAGGTCATTCAACCACTAGAGTTCACCTGCAGTCCATACTGTGATACACGCCTAGCTCAAAGCTATTTTATCTTTTGTGTTGATAGTCAAGATCTTGGCTATAACATTGACATCAAACTCTGTCTGGGCGCATGACTAAGAGTGGTGCAAAATGTAAACTTTTGACCCTCAACTTTTTGACCCGGAGTTGTTACGCCCTAACCACAAAGATATACAAAAGCAGCGCAGCCTCTATCTCTTTAAAGGAGGCTGGCTAGCTTGTTTGTTTCTGTGCCCTTGCCATTTCCCCGTTTGGTTTTTCTCAGATTTGAAAGGAACATGGATTTTTTTTAAATGAAACAAGCTGAAAAATAATCCTCGCAAAGCAAAAACTGAAAGCAATTTGCAAAGCCCACTGACCAACTCTGGAAAAAATTGGATTAAACTGAAAGGAGCAGAGTGGGTTTTCCTGGCAGGTGGGTAAGTTCTGAGCACAAGGTGGGCACAGTGATGGGGTGGTTTGTCCAGATAGATACTGCTGATAATTTGGTCATTTTACCACAATTTTCTTCTCTCTTATTTTTTTTTTTTTAAAATAAAGCAAACGACCCACTGAGATTGCGATGCCTTGCCCAAGGAAAAGCAAGCTGACTGTGAACTTGGTCTAAAGCGGGCTCTGCTGGTGAGTCGGAGAGTGTGCAGATTTATCTTAGTTTCTGCATTTACTTAACCTGGCAATGAACTGCACGGGCTACCATTTATTATCCAAAGGCAGACTTCACCTCCAGCAAGGACTGCTTCACAAAACTGCAATAATTACCCAATAACCTTCATAACAAATATTATTATTGAAAAGCCATTTTGGGAGGGAGGGAGGCAGAAAGGGACAGGCCTGTTCTCCGTGTTTTCAGGAGAAGAACCTCTATGTGAAATATTGTGCATTTTCTCTGTAATCATACTGTGCTGTTTGCAACTACATGAGCCACAAAGACATAACTCGCTGGCCTTCGAGAGACATTCTATTTAGGAGAAATTCTAGACAATTTAGGCTGCTCGCATTTTGGAGAACGGTAAAAAAGAAGGAAACATGTTAAAAACAGTAGATCGCATTTGACTAGAGTTAATAGAAATCCAAAGACTGAATTATATGGAACAGAATAGCAACTTTACTCTTTTTTTGGAAAAGGGGGAGGGGGGACGGGAAAAGAGAGAGAAAAGATTTAATCCAGAAGGCCAGGGTGTTCCATCTCTCTGATATAAAAATGTAATGTTAAATCACAGATAAGGTAGAAAATACCAGCCATTCCACTACTCTGAAGAAAAGGAAATTCACTCTTTGACATAATGGAACTAGTACTGTAATTTCCCGTGATGCTTTGTAGTGAGGAGCTCTATCACAAAGCTCCCAATCATGTGACTTTCCAAAAGCCATCTTACGCTTTAAAAAAAGGAAACTGTTTTAATTTTCTTGCTGTATACACAGACACTTGTCCAAGTTATAATCGGTCTGGTGTTTACACATCACTCACGGGGCCACAAGGGTATTACTAATACTTTGAAGATCACTAATGATTATTTAAAGAAAATAAAGCATATGGTCCTCAGAATAAGAAAATACAGCAATGTGTATAATGATTATACTTTTACTAAAAATTAAGATGGCATTATTTTTAAAATGGGTGTTTTAATTTGACTCAGTAAACTACGGTCATCACATTTGTTTGCTTGTTTATTGCCTAGTTTATTTCGTGTGTTATTCTGAAACAAAACATATTTAAATATAGTGATAGGTTCCTTGTTCTTTTTTTAAAAATCCTTATGTTTCAAGAATTTCTTCTGGCTTGGAGGCTTAGATATTGCTATTAGTTTTTGTTTCAGCATGTCGACCACCATCACCAAGGCTACAATCATGTACACAGTTGCTTTAGGTGCAAGTCTCGGTGAATTCAGTGAGACTTACTGCTGAATTGACATGGAAAGGATTATGTTACATAAAGTAACAGACCTTTTTATGATGCTCTTCATAAAACTATATGTGCTTAGCTGTCTTCTCTGATAAGTCATTCCATCTATCTGTTCAGTCACCTAGCACCTACAAGGTTGGAAAGACAGGTGTGTGACCATGTCAAGAGTAAGGAAAATTCAGATTTTAAAAAAATGTGTTTCCCCGTCTGAGAAGCCAGATGAGAAACACATTTTTAAATCTGAATTTTCCTTAGTCTTGAGCCTTTGTAGTTCTATCCTTTAGTTCTATCTTTAAAAACATTAGTTTAGAAGTAAATCCATCAGATTATGGAGGAACTTTCTTCCGTATAAATTTGGAAGCAGCTTTAAAGCTGCTAAATCCAATGGGATCAAACCACTATAGTCTGACCCTAATAGGCTTAAATTGAGTTTTGTTTTTAATTTTTACCATCCCCTAAAGTAAAACTGAAGTCCAGCCTATTTAAATTTAAGTAGCTTTGCACCTGGACCTTAATGACCTTTTGCTTACAAATATTCCAGTTGGATTCCTGGTTATTTACTTTCTAACTGATTTAAGAACCCAGAAATAGTCTCAGTGATATATAAATCTAGGCCATGCCTCTAACTAGGTTGAAGATAGGTCTTTCAGTCAGCTGTTTTGCTTTGTTAGATTCACAGACCATTAAAATATTATTTTCCTTCAAAAACACAAAGTACAAACAAGATCGAGTGTGGAGATTTGTTTCCACTTTCAATTTTTCTATATTTTGATTCTAATCACTCTTTTCAAACATACCTACACACGTGTTGCTATTGAATTTCTGTAAAAGTAATCACCATGCACATTTCACAACAAAGTACTAGATTCTACTGGATAAATTCTATCAGTAATGTTGGAAATAACACATAATCTATTTAAAATTCATGTCCTATGGTTCCTTCAGTATACATAGAAGTATGCCCCAAACCTATAAAATATATATTTATTTATTATTAGATGCCCTAGAATTCCTACAGGTTTCCATATTTCGGGCTATTAGATGTGCATATGCAAGAAAACAGCTTTTTAGCAATGAATCTCTTTGACAAATACCAAAATCAGGTACGTTTCTACTCAATTTCTAAACAGCACTGGGAATTTACGTATATCCTATGAATACCCTCCTCAAAAGAGCCTCAGTTCAGTTCAGTGGGGCTTTCTCCCGCTAAACTGAGTGCAGGATTGTACCTTAGAAGACAAAAATATTAGGTATGAATAAAAACTTACTAGTTAATCCTATTAACTGAAAGAAGCCATTGCCTTTGAAATACAAACGTGTAGGTCTAGAAAGGAATATGACAAAACCTAACAGCTTAATTCTTATTTAACCAAGAATTTGAGAGAAACCCCCATCTGAATCCTCCTAGGTTTGTTAAGCCATTTCAATATATGTGGCAAACATATAGACAGGGCCAATCTTCATTCTTTTTAAAAGCACTGGATTTGATCTTACCAAGCCTTATTCACCTGAATGGTTGGTTTGTTTTTAAAGCTACCGTTGGCTCCAAAGATATTGATGGTGGGACTAAAGTCCATGTGAGTAAGCCTATCCAGGATCAGACACTACAAAAAAGAAAGAGGGGGGAAAGAAGCCTAGTGGGGGAAAAAAGGATGCTCTTTCATGCTTTCTTTCAACCCTGGAAATTCAAAGAGTTAAAGTTAAATCCGGTCATAAACTTTATTGCTGAGTAATCACACTGCAGTGAGAAGAGTCTGCTTAAATAAAAAAAGAATGCTGAAATAAACAGGCAGCTGGGGCCTACCCTGCAATTGCCAGTTAGTAAAAGAAGGAGAAGAGGAAAAAAGAAGAAAAGAGATGCGTATAAATGGGGTTATTTACTATCGCCTATAAAACGAAACTGTCTTTCGGAATTTCAAGCATCCTAGTGCCAAGTAGAATCTCCTGATAAAGTTTGCCGTCAGTTTATTCCGAGGAAAACACACAATCAAAGGGAACAGAAGCAGGGCCAGGGGGATCTACTGTAACACTGGTGTATGTTGCCTGTAGAATAGGCTATGTGTACAGAGGTAGGCATGGCCAGTTCTGGAGGACAGAGAAGCTCCAAAGAATCCTAAACACATAGGTGGATAACCCTTTCAAGGTATGAAGTTTGCCTAATTGGACATTACTGTTCTATCAATTGTCTGCATGCCCAAAGATGCACACTCTCCAGAGATAGATTCATGCTTCTTTAAAAAAACACACACAACAACAACAACCATGTAGACTCTGCCTCTCAACAAACACAGTCAGTAGAAACTGAAAAGTTCATGGAAGTCATCATTGTTTGCCATAGTCAAAGTAATTAAAGTTAGGCCTCAAAAACCCTCCCTGTTAAAGTTCCTTATTGTGGTTTGCCAAGATTTCACTGAATATAGATGCACATAAGCAAGCACGCACCCCAAAACATACACAAACAAACAAACACACCTCTATCTATCTATCTATCTATCTATCTATCTATCTATCTATCTATCTATCTATCTATCTATCTATCTATCTATCTATCTATCTATGCTTAACTGCTGAGAGTTTAGAACAGAAGTGTTGGAGTAAGGCAAAAAATGTTGCCCCCCCTTCCAAATCTTGTTCGCTAAATCTATTTAAACTACTGTTTAGAACCTCTCTCTTAGTTCTACAAACTAAGACAAGGCAACCAGCTAAATTCTCCATTGTACAAAGAAATTTAAGCAACTTGTGCACAAAACTTATCTTACTTTGCAAAGAGCCTTTTTTTTTTTTCACAGAGTATTTGAAAACTGGGAAATAGATACTTCTGTACCTAAATCTGATAATTTGAATGACCAGGAGGCACACGTAGCCTGCAAAAGAGTCAAATGAAGTCCAGCGTCAGTGTGATTATACGTTATGTGGTATATAATGTTGGATGACAACTCCCCTAACCATAAAACTTACTTTAATGGCACCACGTGACTTTTTATAGCCACTGAGCCTATCTGTCTGTGCTATGGATGATTTTACGATCTAATTCATAGACAAAACCCTATTCATTTGGCACCCAAATGTCATATAGCCGGAACTGGGGCTTATAAAGTTTACTGTTTTATAACTTTTAAAGGAAGACATCAATGTAACCCGTCTGTAAATGTGCAGATCTTTAGTTACTCTTAAGAAGCACAGAAGCCCAGGTGAGGTAAGTAACAGCTACATTTCTAGCAAAAATTGTTGTGGCAAAATAAATAAATAAACACACATTGTTTTATTTTTAAGGAAAACTTTCCTCAATAGTATCTTTTAGGAGTGTAGGAGGAGAAGCTTAGTGTGTTTATTTATTGGTTTGTTTATTGTTTTCACGTTGGATGGTGTCCAGCTTGTTGCACAGGTCTGTTTATTTAGTTGCAATACCTTTTATACAGAAAGGTAAAGGTGATTATAGAGATGATAATGTTGTTAAAGAAAGGTTGGATTTTCTCATTCCCCACCCCTTAATTCTCCCAAAAGGGAACTGACTAGATATCTTTTAATGGAGTTTTCTAGCCAAAGCAGACCTGAGTAATTCAAAGGAACATGGGGTAATTGCGACTGCAGTAGTGCGAGAAGGATAGCTTCTTCTCCAACTCTGCTCTAACCAGAGAGACGAAGAAGGCAATACAGCTTCCCTTAGGATACAGACCAGATCACCCGCAAAAGGAAAAGGGGAGGGGGTAGAAAGACAGGGTGAAAAACCCTTACAATAGAAAGTTTATTTTTTTCCAGTCAGTTATTTAAAAAAAACACTTTTTTTAAAAAGCCGATCACAGTATTATTTTTTGTTCTAACAGGCAGACTTTGACTCTATCTGTAACTTGGTTCATCCAAACAAACAAACAAAAAGAGAAACCAAAACCTTATACGTTACTGAAGCTGCGCTTAATAAAAGCCACTTTTAAGAGTTCGTGCAAAGAGTCATATACAAAGGCACAGCAAAGGACAGACTGCCTGGAATCACAGTTTTTGTCACAGATTCACTATTCACTACACGTTTAGGACACCTTCAGTTTTGTATTTCATCATTTCACCTCTACAACAGCCATTAATGTCACAGGAATTAGATAGGTAGTATTTTTTTTTTGATTGAAATATTGGCCACAGCTTGGAGCTATACAGACATTGACAATTTTTGAACACACATGCACAGTTAAGCACAGCGAGTGCAACACACAGAGAACATGGGGGATTAAAACAGGACTGGGTGGGGGGTGAGAGAGGGAGGCACAGAAGGAAGGAGAGAGACAATTGTCTCTCTGTTACTTTTTGTGTGTTATGTACGGGTGTGTGTGTAGGCCCCCCTCCCTCTTTTTTTTAACAGTTACTTCAAGTAACGCCACTCGCTTCATATAAATAAGTTAAAACATCTACATTTTTTTTCTTCTTCTTCAAGACAAAGCCATTCAAGACAAAGAAATGCACGGGAAGCAGGTCTACTGTAATACGCACTAGGAAGGCTCAATTAAACAGGCTCATGATTAAAAGATGGGACAGGAAGCGTCTTCCGCCTCCCAGGGAAGTTAGAGCAAGTCAGCGTAAAAGAGACAGAGAGACAGAAAGAAAGAGAGAGAAGAAACTACTGACACGCCACGTAGTGTCATCTCATATAATACTGCTCAGTACTTGGTTTGATTTTGTGGTTGATGACGTTTTGTTTTTGTTTTTTTGCTGCTTTTCTGGGGAGGAAGGAAGGAAGGAGCAGGGCTGGGGGTTTCTCCTAGGGGCGAAATGCTCCTCCCGCAGCAGCCATGCTCATGCTCTTCAGCTTGTTATCCTTTTTCCATTTCATGCGCCTGTTTTGGAACCAGATCTTGATTTGTCTCTCTGAAAGGCAAAGAGCATGTGCTATTTCAATCCTCCTCCTGCGGGTCAGGTATCTATTGAAGTGAAACTCTTTCTCCAGCTCCAGCGTCTGGTAGCGGGTGTAAGCAGTCCGAGCCCTTTTCCCTTCGGGCCCCCCTATGTTGTCTGCAATGAGAAAAGGGAAATGGTTTAGACGGTGACAACAGGGTTTCTGGCTCTTCCATCCCTCCCTTTCTCTCTCTCTCTCGCCCCCATCTTCCCGCGCTCTCCTATTGCTTGTGTATTAAGTTTAGGTGAATGCTCAACAAGTACTTCCTTTTCTGCACGCCTTTCTCTTCCTTAAATAACTCCCAGACTTTCAAACAGCCTCCCTTTTTGACTTTTCCAGTCAAGTGCTGGTGAATGTCAGGGAAAAGAGAAAACTACTCCTGTCTCCTGGACACGAATCCTTAATCTAGCAATCCTTTTGCCAGTTAACCGCCCCCTGCCCCCCAAGTGCTTCCGAGAGAACTTACTCGCCTCCTCTTCAGAGGAGCCTGGCATTAAGTTTGGAATCTGCTTAGAGCTGAGGGCAATAAGAAACGGGGAAACATGAAGAGCCTAAGCGATGTGTTCCTCTCTTCTCACTCCTGATTTTAACCATCCTTTCTAGGGGAGGGATTCTTTTAACACACACACACACATATACATATAGGAAAAGAGAGAGAAGGGAATTACTTCCAAGCAATGCCCTGAGGACTGCAGGGGTAGTCTATTTCCCCCCCCACGCACACACACCGGCTCTCAAGTTTTTTTCCCTTGACTTCCGTCCCTCCCAGCGAAATCTCTCCCCCACCACTACACATACTATTTGCTCAACTTCTTTTTTGATATAATTAGTAACGGTGTTTTTCACTGGACGCTCCTTGTCATAAATTACGGAGGCTGACACACACTATTCAAGATCTCTCTCTCTCTCTCTTTCTCGCTCCCCACCACTACAATTGTACCTCTCTGTTCTGGAGAGTTTAGAGGAGTTCTCAGCAGAGCCTGCCTCTCTCACACCCCTCATCTCCAGGACGCCACTTGCCTTTCTCTGCACAGTCCCAGCTCCCGACAGACGGCATGAACACACAGACATTCTCTCTCTCTCTCTCTCTCTCTCACACACACACACACACACAGAGCGAGAGCGAGCGAGAGAGGTGGGGGAGAGAAGACAAGAGAAAAGAAGAGAAGGCACGGCTTTCTTGGACCCCTGATGTTCAGTTTTGCCAGCCAAGCGTGTCCTGGAGCCTGCCTGGTGTGCCCACGTACACACGCGCTGCGCCTTGCTTCTCCTTCCTTCTCCATCTCCCTCCCCCCCCTCGAGACAGAGAATCGGGGCATGCTTTTACCATGGCTTATGTGCAGTTTTCTCATCCAAGGGTAGATCTGGGGCTGTGGAGGCTGTGGGGCTGTGCTTTGGCCGTTCTGCTGGGAGTTGACTTGCTCGCCGCTGGCCGGAGGGTCATCTTCAGTGCCAGGCGAGGCGCTCAGCCCCTCTCTGCCCAGGTGGGTGTTGCCAGTGTTGTTGCTGCTGCTGCTGCTGCTGCCGGTGGTGGTGGTGGTGCTGCCGGTGGCGCCGCTGGAAGTCGAGGAAGTGCTGGTCGAGTTGGCGCTGGAGTTTTTCACGCCGCCGCCGCCGCCGTGAGGAGCGTCGCCGCTGACAGGCGAGGTGGTGGCCACGGCTGCGCAGGGCAGCGGGTCAGGCGGCGGCGAGTGAGCGGTGGCGGTGGCAGCGGCCGCCCGACTTGCATACCTGGCCTCCGGGGTGCCGGAGGTGGCGTTGGCAGGGTAACTGCCGCGAGCCCGCTCCGTGGGGCCGCCCGCGGCAAAGTGGCTGGAAGCGGAGGAGCGGCCGACGCTGAGGTCCATGCCATTGTAACCGTAGCCGCCGCCGTACCTGCCGGAATGCATGGCAGCGGATTCCCTGAATTGTTCGCTCACGGAGCTAGGATCTCCATAATTATGTAACGGGTAGTCCGGGCCATTTGGATAGCGACCGCAAAATGAGTTTACAAAATAAGAGCTCATTTGTTGTTGTTTGTTGTTTTTTGATCGGGGGGCTTGATTTGTGGCTCTTTGCTTCGTTTTTTGGTGCGTCTATAGCACCCTTGCACAATTTATGATGAATTATGGAAATGACTGGGACATGTACTTGGTTCCCTCCTACGTAGGCACCCAAATATGGGGTACGGCTTCACATCACGTGCTTTTGTTGTCCAGTCGTAAATCCTGCCTGATGACCTCTAGAGGTAAACTCGTGCACTAGAAGGGGGAATTGGGTGGATGCTGGAGGGTTGGGGCGCGCGCCCGACGCGCGATCCCGACGCCAGCTCCCTACTGTCAGTCGGCCTCTTGCGCCACCCTCTGGAGACAAGCTAGATCTTCACACTTCGCGGTCAGGGGCTGCGGCAGGACTGGGGTCGAACCGAGGTTACAGCCCATTATAGCAAAATTATGGCATCTCTCACACAGTTCCATTATTATGTACCAATTGTTAGTGGCCATCGGCTCCAGTTCAGAAAACAATAAAAAATACAGAATATATATGTTCACCTCCCTAGTTTTAATAAAATGATATTTAAGGGGTTATTTTAATAAAAAAATTGTTTGAGACTCTTAAAAGAAGAAAACCATGACACACGCACATGGGGGGGAACCCTCCTAGTTTTCTTTTTTTGGGGGGGGAAAGGAGCCAGTTAATGATTATTTAAATGGGTGGGGGGATTCTCCATTGTGCCAGCAATTGCAGTGATGTATTCTAAGGAGCTTAAAGAATGGGAAAGAAATTGGAAAATCAATCGATGTGAATTTAATATCCATGCCGATTTAAAATTTCCGTTCAGCCGAGTTGTTTGGTCAGTGTCTTTAAAACAGGGGAATTTTTATGGGGAGAATCCAATTTTTATGCGGCCTCCCCCTTTTTTTGGCTTGCATAAATATAATGCCCCAATGATATTTTGATGGGAAGAGGTCCCCAGTTTCACTTCTGTTAATATTCAGTGCCATCGTCCAAGTGGTACAGTTTTGGTAGTACTGTATCAATAAAAGACCTTCATGATTCCACATATAAAACTCCATAGTGGACGCTAAGAACCCACATGAGCTTCTGAAAGGTATATTCATTGCATATTGTGTAAATTATACCGTGCATTCTTCTACCCCTCTTCTCACACAACTTACAGGAAAGCATAGGATGATGCTTTCATTTCAACATTAAATCTTTCAAGCCCAGTTGTTTTAGATTTTTTACAACGCAGGAAGAAGCAGCAAAAGAGCTTGATTCAATGTTTTCCATTCCCACTATACGATTAACCTTTCTGCCTGCCTGGAGATAAAGCACCCTTCAGCTTTTAATTCTTAAAACAGAAAGATTATTTTAACCCCCTTTAAAAGGCATTTTTTTTTCAGTCTTTAAAAAATAACCAAACTTCTACACATTTCGGAAAATACATAGTCATGAATATTTCAAGATTCTCTTGAAAAAAGATTACATTTTATTTTTACAATTTCCCTTTCCAGGAGAGGGCTTCCTAATTATATATTTAAACTATACGTGTGGAAAATACCTTTCCTTTTTAATCCATAATATTTTAGTGCTAGAGATTTTCCATGAGAGGCAATATTTAAATGTCCCATTGAAATCAATCGGGCTTATCTTGGGAATAAATGGTTGCGAGTCTGCGGTGAAAGGGAGGTGAACAATAAGCAACAATTTATCCCATGTTAGAAGCAAAGACATAAATAAGTAGCTGTAGGTTATTTGAATAAGCCAGTGGACATTTTTTTGTGCCTAGAAGCCAGACCTTCACACCGCAGACTTTCATACAGACATGGACGTTGAGCATATTTTTGATGTTTTTTAAGATCTTCACAATATCGGAAGCTTTTAATCACTCTGCTCTAAGATCTGAAGATCTGACTATGTACAGTATATCACACATTTCTACAGCCAATAGTTCTATTGGCAAAGTAATTTATAGTGAATTGCAAATATAGCAACAGATATATAAATATGCATGTATTTTAATCAAACCTTTGAAATGATAATAATATAATTAACAAAAACAGACTAAGGGGATTTCACTGGAAGGGGAAACATAACGTGGAGGCTTAGGAAAGGTTGGGAAAATACTAGTGAAATGATTTTTATTAAGCATTATTTTACTCCCCTGACTTGTCCTCTGATTCTTCGCAGGGTTGGGTAGAATTGATCAGTTTGCTTTCTTTTTTCCACTTCATTCGCCTGTTTTGAAACCAGATTTTAATCTGTCGTTCAGTAAGGCAGAGAGCATTTGCAATCTCGATCCGTCGTCTTCTGGTTAAATATCTGTTATAATGGAATTCCTTCTCTAATTCTAAGGTTTGGTATCTAGTGTACGTCTGTCTGCCCCGTCTCCCATGCGTTCCATATATTGTACCTATGGAGGCAAAGAAAATGTGATCTGAGTTGAGCAGGCCTTAATATTCCTATGAAAGCAAAGGGTGGGGAATGGATCAAGAAAAGAGTTTGCAGAGATTGTTACTGTGTTCGGCTCTCTCCTTGCATACCCCGTACTGGCATCTAGATTCTTGGATTTAATAACACTCAGTAATTTTCAGTGTATAAACTGATAGTGGGATCTTGAGAATTAAATTGTTAATGACAGGAAAAAGCAGCTTACTTTCATAATATGCTCAGTACTCCAAATACAGCTTCAAATAATACAAAAAATAAGCACACCTATGCAGTGTGTATAGCCATACTGGCACCTTTCTCTCTCCCCCCCCCCTCCTGCATCTACAAACACAGAGAATAACTGGGCATGATCCGGCCAAAGTTAAGAACTTTAAAGACCTCCTGATTTTTCCAAGGAAGATCTAAGCCTGCTCATTGGTTTACTCATTGCCTCTCATTTGAAACAAATGGAAAGAGTTTCACTGGATTGTGTCCTTTTTACTTTGATTAAGTTGACTTTTACAAACTGGACCAGACCCACCCTGCTTATTTGCAAATATTATTGATTTCTGTAAAACCTACTTCCAAGTAAGTGTTTTTAGCATGGCAGCCTAGAAGTGAAGCATGGAGTCTATGGAAAGATGAATAAAGAACAAAATCTTAGTATGCATCCTCAAAGCAAAAAACATGTTCTAAATTGTTATAATGATTACAGTGCCATATCTACTACAAAACACACACACATAAACACACACACACAATGGAAGAAGCTAAGTGTACTTTGGAGATGTGAGAAGTTGAGAGAATATTGCTCAGTTAAATTTGCAAGTCTTTCCCTCCCTACTTTAAATTTCTCCTTTAGGAAAGACAAAGGATAAAATTCCAATGCATTACAGTCAATGGGACTTTGGCTATTGATCAAATTTCCTCTCTCCCCATCTTCCTTGCCTCTAGTAGATGATTTGTGTGCTCACACACATTACTGGAAAACGTGCATTCAATAGCAAATACTTACATACTAATGAGTGAGTGAAGGGAGGGGGGTGAGAGTGTCTGCCTTTCAAACATATTGAGAAGTCAGTAGAGAGGGCATATTCCTTTACATCAGTCTCTGACTGTCATGGCAGAAAAGACTGCTGTTATTGCAATTGTTGTTGTTATTGTTATCATTATTATTCTTATTTCAAGACTGACTGTCAAAAACATTCACTTGGAAGTAAATTATACTCATTTCCATGGAATCTGCTTCCACCTAAGTTGCCTTGGAATCACAGTCTCTGTCTGCTGGGGACTCAGACTTTAACAACGCCTTCTTCCTCAAGGTAACCCCCAAAGTGTCAGGTTGAAGGAGAACCTGGAAAAAAGTGTCAGGTTACCCATTGGCTTGACGGTGCCACTTTTTCCCCCCCTACACGGCCTGAAGAAAGGCCATTTTAGAAAAGAGAGAGAAAACCCTGTACTGTACCTCCACCCACCCCCATGACTTTATTCACCCCACCCCTCCCATTCCCCTCCCCCCTCCTGGGTTGCATCCCGGTGACTTACCAACACACGAGTTCATCCTTTGCATCCAAGGATAAACGGGGCTGGTGTACTTCCGGTCGCTGCCTTCCTCATTTAGGATTTTGGCCGGCCCGCTCTCGGGCTTGTAGGGCTGGTCAGAGGCAAAGCAGGGCAGATAGTCCCCCGAGTGGTTGGCCCTTGGCTTGCCATGGCCGGAGGGCGAGGAGGAGGAGGAGGAGGAGGAGGGGCAGGCGGCGGCGGCGGCCCCCCCGCCTCCCAGGTCCTTGTCCGAGTAGAAGCAGGAGGCTCCATAGTCATAGGGCGCCCGGTTGCAGGCGATGACCGCGTTGGTGGCCGACTGTTGGTAGAAGCAAGGTGAGGCGGCGGAGTAGGGCTTGTCCTGCAGGCTGCCGGCCCCATACGAGCTGGGGAAATGCCTCAGCGCCTCGTAGCCCGCGGGGTAGAGGGGGAGCTGCCCCAGGAAGGACTCTTGCCCATTAGGCAAGCTCCCAGGGAAAGGGGGATTCACAAAATAGGAACTCATGGACGCTCCCCAGATTCCCGGACCGTGATTTGTTGTGTATTAGTACATCTGGCTATAACTATTAGTAGTCATCCGAGGGGTTTGTTTCTGGATGGCCGAGCGCCAAAAGCGACAGCAGCAAATAGCACCAGCTGACGGCCCGGCGGCCAATGAGAGCGCGGCGGAGGGCCTTCTCCCCTGGGACCCGCCGCCACCGAGCCAGCAAAGTTACAAACAAC